TGGCTACAGTACAAATCCAGTAAAAATGGGACAACATGAAGACTGTTTGTGATGCCTCAAATTATAGTTCAATGTAGAGTGGTGACTAAGAGTTGAGACTTGAGAGAGTTTATAAGGTAAGTCATGAAATTCAAGTATAAAATCGGCTAGTCGATTTTGACAGTGATTTAAGCTAAACAACACACTATACTCGTTGGGTTCCATGGTTTACAAGGCCCGAATGAGCTCGCACGTCCAAGGCGTGATAGAATTGCATAGAGGCAGCCATGTAAGATTTTTTTTAATGCCACATCATCTTGCAATTTAACGAAACAAACAAGAAAATGCTTAAAAGTTACTGTAGCCTAATTTTTTTTTTTTTAAGCATCTTTCAAGCAAAAGAGGCCAACCGAACAGGCCCCAGAAATATTAGGTCGATAGAGTCTGATGTTAACTCTTGTTTGTCTCTTTTCTCTCGTGTCCTTCCCACAGAACTGGCAATCGGAACTGGACTCTAGTACAAAGGCAAGGAAATATGGACATAAATTCTGTGATAAAAACATCTCATAAAACCCATCAAAACTGCTACCGGGTAATCCTAAAAGAAAGAACTAAACTTAAAAACAATCGCCACAACAAAGAAATCACACGCTCAACTCCTGCAGATCGAAATCGAGAGCTCAGTACTGGCACAATCCCCCCTCTCGTCACCGAACAAGCTAAGTTGAACCTTCGGACTTCTCTTTGCCTCTTTGCTCCTGAGATCAGCTCCAAACACGAAGCAATGCTCCTCCCCCTCCTCTTTCACCTCCTCTTCAGCTGGCCGTGAAGACAAAGCCAAAGGCCGCGGCGTAAAGCTTGAACAGGAACTGCAAGCCGAGCTGCTTGTAAACAGAGGCATTGCAGGATTCTTAGTGAAGCACTTCTTGCCTCTGTGCTTGTGCCTCTCGCAGTACTTGGAGTCACCGGAGGCCTCCCTCGAGCACCTCCACTTCTTGCCGTCTGTTCTCTTGCACCTCCACGGTTCCGGGTCTTCCTCTACCCTCCTCCCATAACTCACTACACGAGAAATAAAATAAAAAAAATATTGTTTGAGACCGTACGTACGTGATGTATATATATGTACATTTTTAATTATGCACATCTATGTAACCTTTTTTCAGACTTGGAGGTGATGAGACCTTACTGGAATGGTGAAGAGAAATGGGTTGGAGGGAGAAGTTTCGACGAAACGGAAGAATGAGATGTGAAGGGATGGGAATGCCCGAGGCCATGTAGTTGAAGATGAGAGCTTGGAGCTCAAGCTCCTGCCGCTGTGATGTTGTGAATGGCTGCCTGATTCTGCTGAAATCCATTATCATCACAAGATTGACGAGAGAGAGAGAGAAAGGAGAGAGACGAGAGGGAGAAGGGGGCGATGGGTTATGTCATATAATGAGGTGGGGGGTTTATTTGTCTTGAAGCGGCATAGGAAGCGTCATTCAGTCAAAAGGGTGCGGATCTTCTGAGGGGGTGTTTTGAATGGAAAGATGCAGTGTAAATACACTGAAAGATGCACTGTTCCCTCTTATTCAGATGCTGCCCACCCAGTCAAAATCTCTATGGCCATGTTTAGTATATGTAACATGTAACGGTGGTTATTTGACAAACTATTATTAGTTAGGTGTCCTAAAAGTAAAGGTTTATTTTCACTTTGGTTCCCCAAAGTTTACCTCTATTCTCAAGTTGATAGTCCAAAGTATTAAAAAAAAAAAACATTGGTAACCTATAGTTTCAGTTACATTTTATTTTGATACCATGTCCCACATTTGATTAGACTTTCTGTTAAATTTACGTCATTTAGGGATTGTTTGGTTCACTAGGAAACTAAAGAAAGCGCAATGGAAACCTTCTAACACACCACCTTGAAAAACTTTTAGCCAAAAGATTCTTTATCTTGTGTTTGATAGATCCATTTCATCTGGGAATATATTTCCAACTGAATTGAAACAACAGCAAGCATCAATTTTTTCCCTTGAAAATCCAATTCTTGGATATTTGCTCGAAAATGAGCTGGAAAGCTAATTTTTATTATTAAGACATTGAGACACTAAAAACGAGGGCCGGATAGTGACCTGAAAAGAAATGCTCGCTTGTTTTTAAAAAATCTTTAGTTTCTTGTTTTGTTGTGTTTCATCCAGAGTTGTGTGTTTCATCCAAATTAAGGATTCAAGTGGAACATGTTTCCACCCTTGATTTTCACATTGGAGGGAAAATTATGTAGGAAGCGTTTTTTTTCCATGTCAAAAATTGTGATTAATATTGCCATATATAGATGTTTCATGATAAAATCTTAATATTGTTAAAAAAGAGGTTTTCGGTTAACCAGGAAATTAAAGGAGGGTTTTACGATACTCCGAAAGTCGTGGGAGGCGTTTTCAGAATTAATCATTTTTTGTGGGTTTCGCTTTTAAAAGATAATTAAATCTGTAGACGAAGGAAGAGCGCTAAACACAAGTCTAATTTTTCTTTATTAAGTGGTGTGATGTTGTCAGAAAATGCAGTTGATGTCTGCTTTTATCATATTATGGGCAAGAACAGAAGTAACAGGCAAGTATGCAGGTTTGTCAGAGGCTCAGAGCTCTCTCTCTCTCTCCCTCTCTCTGTTCTCTGATGCTTTTGTCTTCTTGACCTTTCTCTTTGCAGTCTTCTTGACCTTTCTCTTTGCAGACACCTACAGGCTAAAAAGGACTGATTACTCCATAAACCAATGGTGTGTTTGGGAGTTTACTTAGGGAAGGGAAGGAAGGGGAAGGAAGGGGAATTTTTCCCCTTCCTTCCCTTTCCCTCCATTACACCCCAATTTGGGGTGTAAGAATTTGGGCCAAATTTCCCCTCCATTCTCCTCCTCTACCCTCCAAAATAAAACTCCCAAACAAGATTAAAATAAAATTTCCCTTCCCTTCCCCCTCTCTACCCTCCATCCAAACAGGCCACAAGAGTAAAGCTGTCAGAAGAAACAAGAGAGAGAAAAGAGAAAGCGGTCCTCTTATTAACGGGTTTTCTATTTTTTTTCCCCCTCACCTGAAACCGATAGCTCTTATTCGTATTTATCTACATTTTCCTATGATGGGCTTTTATCAGAGATGACGAGCGTTTGATTGGAAAAGCGGGGTTTTATGGTTCACCGAGTTTAGCGAAGAAAATATGTGCTCTTTTTGAAAAGACTGTATCTCGCAGAGATCATCAGTTAATGGAGCGTTTAATGACCTATTTCGTCAAACTCATACAGTTCTCAGTCAAAATTTCGTTTGTGTAGTCAGTCCTGCCATTAATTAGAAGGTAAAACTTTGGTTTTGACCCTCTGTGTTGATTGTGAACTGGGAAAGCCCGTTTGACTGAGATCAGCTGAACTCTTTGATAAAGCCCTTGGACCCAAAAGACCCATGTGATTCGCCCTTTATACTTAAAAAAAAAGTCCAAAGAGATAATTCCGGATTTTGAGTTGATGCTTTTTGGATGGCAGAGATGGATTGACAAATTTAGGGGGAAATTACAGAAAATCCTTCGTGAACCAAACAAAATTCGGGTCGGTTTGGGAGGTGAGGTTTGGATTTGAAGGGGGGGATTTAAAATCAATGGATTTTGTTATCGAGATGTCTTTTGTGTTACTGTAATTGCGTATGTATAAGGGCATATTTGTAATATTGTTCAGGTGATTAATATAAATACCACAACCTAACCCTAATTAGGGTTGAGGAGCTTAACTATCTCCAATTCGTCTACCACCCAGCTCGTCTGCTGTCGAGTCCGCAAATTAATCTATCTTCATCTCCCAACTTACCGCCGTCGTTCTCCTCCTTCAAGCACCATGACATCATCATGATCATCATCAAGTTCTCTTTCTTCAACTCTCACAACATCGTCCTCCCCATCTTCCTTTGCTAGAAATCCCTTCTCTCTTCATATCAAGGACTTGCTTCATGTTGAGTTGGACTCTTCTAACTATTTATAGTGGAAGCATCTACTACTAGGGTTGTGCATTGTTCGGTCCAGACCGAAAAAACCGACTGAATTGACCAAAAATTTAACGGTTCGGGTCGGTTTTGTTTGTAGGTCGGTTTGCATCGGGTTGAAAACTTTTCAACCCGAACCACCCGAACCGACCGCATCACTAATAACACTATAATTTTTAACACATACTCATTAGAAACCATACTCGACCCGTTCACTAAAATCCCTCAAATCTCAATACACAAACCCTAATTTGAGTTATATGAACCTATTTTGAAGTAATTCCTTACTCCTTAGAGAGGCTTGTGGCGAGGATGTTTCTCTTTTCTACATATCTTTAAGGATAATTATGCCTTCTTAATTATTGTTGCTTGTCTTGAACTCTTGGGTCTTTGTATATTAAAATAGCTTCTTTCCTTCATATAGCTTATAGATTTAGTTGTTTTGTTTTAAGTTGCAGCTGATTGTTGCTACCCCTGTGATGTTTCCCCTTCTTTATCGTTTTATCTTGATTAGATTAGTGTTTTTTTTTTCAAAATCCTTGCATATTAGTACCTATATAAGTTGTGAATAAAGCAAAAGAAAAGGTTGTATAATAGACATGAATACATTTGTCTACAACATTTGAATACATCTTGATTAGAACCGAACAAACCGAACCGAACCGCACCGAAACGACTTGCAACAGTTCGGTTCGATTTTGAATAATGGATGGTTCGGTTCGGTTGTTCAAATTTTGATAAAAACCGAACCGACCGACCGTTTACATAGCCCTATCTACTACTACCGGTTTTTGAAATATATGACCTTGCTGGCCACATCAATGGCAAAACCCCACCTCCTCCAGCTACTAGTGAAGTATTAGGTGATTCCCACAAGATCGAAATCACAAATCCCGCATACAAGTCTTGCCTTGAATGAGAGATATGCGTATTCTCTGTTGGATTAATGCAACAATTAAGAGCAATGTGTTCATAATGCAAAAGAAGCTTGGGATTTTCTTTCATAACACTTTGTTGATGGATCGGCTGCTTGGGAATGATATTTTTGCAATCAACTTCAGAATTTAGAGAAAGGCTCACTATCAGCAGATGATTATATGCAGAAAATCAAACAATTGGCCGATTCTCTTGCTGCCATTGGTCGACTTGTTAGTCAATCTGAGTTGCGATCATGTGTATTCAAAGGTTTGCCTTCCACCTATGCTACATTTATTGGTATTGCATCAGAAAAGGTCCCTAAACCTACATTCCAAGAACTTTGGACAATGCTATTGAATCATGAATCACTCAAAGAGCATACACATGGTATTGCCGATTGCAAATCTACTACTTTGGACAATGCTACTCGTCCCCTCACTCATGCTTTCTCAACTCAACATCCGCGTACCAGTCGAGGGGCATATGGTCATAGAGGAGGTCGATCAAATCATGGGCGAGGTCATTTGAATAATAATTGGCAAAATAGGTATCCTCGTTGGTCATCACAATCAAATAATGTGTGGACATGTCCTACACTGTTGGGGATTCGAAACAATCAATCGAACCCTTGCCCTTCCAGACATTGTGTTGAAAGTAAGAAAGTAAGAATAATACCACAAATAAAGATCTAACCTTGCAAAAATAGTAAAGGAGACGAACACACAGATTTAACGAGACCTTGCAAAAATAGTAAAGGAGACGAACACACAGATTTAACGAGGTTCGGCAACGTGCCTACGTCCTCAGGAGCCACACCACACGAACACACAGATTTAACGAGGTTCGGCAACGTGCCTACGTCCTCAGGAGCCACACCACACAATCTCTTTTATTAATTGAAGAAGAATACAAGCTCTCAAACTAGGATTTTATCTCTCTGAGATTCTCTCTCTTTTTTGCAATCAAAAAGCTCTCTTTTTCGTGTCTTACAAACCCTAAAAACATTTGGGTATTTATAACAAACCCCAGCTAAACAGGATTCCTAAACAGGATAGGAAACAGGGAAACAGCGTCGCGGTCGACCGTCGTACCAAGGTCGGTCGACCGGCCAGAGAGAAAAATTATTACACATTTGCGGTCGACCGCAGCGGCAACGCCGGTCGACCGACCAGAGCAAAAAATCCTTCTTAGTCTCCTGCAGTGCACGCGGTCGACCGGATCTGCCACTGCGGTCGACCGCACGGTCTTCTGACTGTTTTCTTCGTCTTTTCGATTGCAGCTTTGGGTCTACACATTTAGACTAACAATCTTCCACTTGGAAACTAAAGCGCCATCAACGAGGTCACCCGAACTCTCCCCTTCTTCGCATGTATCTTTTCCCTGAAAAAAAATTCTTTCTTCAATCAACATCCCGGCAATCGCGCCGATCCTCGTAGTGTGGCTCCGCCTTCGTCTTCTGCTCGTGAAGGCCAACTGAAGTTGCGCACAAATCTAGTTTCTCAATGGTGACTACCTTTGTCAACATGTCCGTCGGATTTTGACTCCCCAAAATTTTCATTAAGTGTAACTTTTCGTCCTCAATCAGCGAGCGTATGAAATGGTATCGTACGTTGATATGCTTCGTTCTGGCATGATATACTAGATTCTTGGCAAGATGTATAGCGCTTTGGCTATCACAATAAAGTACTCATCTCCCTTGCTTTAGATCCAACTCTTCCAAGCACCCGTTCAACCAGATCATCTCCTTGCTTGCTTCAGTCACCGCGACATACTCAACCTCGGTTGTAGACAAAGTCACAATCTTCTGCAAACGTGAGACCCAGCTCACTGCTGTCGACGCTAAGGTATAAACATACCCCGTGGTGCTTCGTCTCGTATCATGATCACCGGCAAAGTCCGCATCCACGTATCCCTACAGCACCAACTCCTTCCTCCTAAAACATAGTGGTTTGTTTGTTGTCCCCCTCAAGTACCGCATTATCCATTTCACGGTCTCCCAATGCTGCTTCCCTGAATTGCTTACAAATCTGCTCACAACTCCCACTGCATGGGCGATGTCCGGCCTCGTGCAAACCATCGCGTACATGAGACTCCCAATGGCCGAAGAATATGGCACCCTGCTCATATGCTCTCTATCTGCATCTGTCTTAGGCGATTGCTCCTCAGATAGCTTGAACTGACTTCCAAGGGGTGTGCTAACAACTTTAGCATTCTGCATGTTGAACCTCTGAAGTACCTTCTCAATGTATTCAGCTTGGCTCAATCTCAATGTCCCTTCAGCTTCATCCATATTGATTCGCATCCCTAGAATCTGCTTCGCTACGTCCAGATCCTTCATTGCAAATTCCTTTGCTAGCTGTTTCTTCAAACTGTTTATCTCTTCCAAACATGGTCCTGCTACCAACATGTCATCAACATATAATAACAAAATAATGAAGCTGGACTCGAACCTTTTGAAATAACAGTAATGATCCGAATTACATCTTTGTAGCCATTGTTCTGCATGAAGTTATCAAACTTCTTATACCACTGTCTCGGAGCCTGTTTCAAACCATATAAGCTCTTCTTGAGCTTGCACACCATCTCTTCCTTTCCTTCTTCAATGAAGCCAACATGCTGCTTCATGTAGATTTTTTCATCCAAGTTACCATGAAGAAAGGCAGTCTTCACATCCAACTGCTCAAGAAAGAGATCTTCTGTAGCCACCAAGCTCAACACCACTCTGATGGTAGTGAGCTTCACAACAGGCAAAAATATCTCCGTGTAGTCCACTCCTTCCCGCTGTTGAAACCCCTTCACGACTAGTGTGGCCTTATACCTCTTGCTTCCATCACTCTCCTGTTTGACCCGGTAGACCCATTTATTGTGCAAGGCTTTCTTCTGCGCAGGTAGCTGGGCTAACTCCCATGTCTCATTAGTGAGTAGAGAATCCATCTCCTCCTGCATCGCATGCTCCCACTGCTGAGATTCACTCACTTGCACTGCCTCTTCATAACACTCCGGCTCTCCGCTATCTGTTAAGAGTAGATAATCAAGTGACGAGAGGTATTTAGGATTTGGTTTGGGTACCCTAGATGACCTCATAAGCTCTACGCCCTGGGTAGTAGCTTCTGTACCTGTAGTCTCCTCCGTTCTACGATCAGAACTGACATTGTCGCCCCCATCTGGAAGTTCCTCCAAATCCATGTATTCGGATCCACCTGTATCCGTAGTGCTGTTCCTACTGCTTTGGCTATCCTTGGCATTGTCCCTGTCCTTGTACATTACCTCCTCATTGAATATCACGTCCCGGCTCTTGATGATCTTCCTGTTCTTCTCATCCCAGAGACGATACCCGAACTCATCAACACCATATCCAATGAATGTACACTTCTGTGACTTAGCTCCTAGCTTGTCCCTGACATGGTCACTGATATGAACATATGCCACACAGCCAAATACTCGCAAGTGTGAGAGATTTATCTTCTTGCCACTCCAAACCTCCTCTGGAATCCCAAAATCTAATGGAACTGATGGCCCATGATTAATCAGGTAGGCTGTCGTATGCACCGCATCCGCCCAAAATGTCTTAGGCAGACCTGCATGTAATCGCATGCTCCGCGCACGCTCAGTTAAGGTCCTGTTCATTCTCTCCGTAATGTTGTTCTGTTGCGGTATCCCTAGAGTGGTTCTCTCTAAACGAATCCCATTCGTAGCACAGAACCTCTTGAACTCCTCCAGCTCGTATTCTCCACCATTATCTGATCTCAAGCACTTCACCTTCAGATCTGTCTCATTCTCGACCATGACCTTCCACTTCTTGAAGATTTTGAACACCTCTGACTTGTGCTTCATGAAGTAAACCCACACCTTCCTCGAGTGATCGTCGATAAAGGTGACATAGTATCTCGAACCGCCAAAAGAAGACACACTGGCTGGGGCCCATACATCTGTATGAATCAACTCTAGCTTTTGAGCCTTAGGTGGCCTTCCACCCTTCTGGAAACTAACCCGCTTCTGCTTCCCAAAGATGCAGTCTTCACAAACCCCGACTTCCACGGTGTCGATCCCGGTTAGCTTTCATTGTGAATGTAGGATTTTCATCCCCTTCTCGCTCATGTGTCCCAGCCTATTGTGCCACAGATCTGTACTCTCCTTGCCAGCTGCAATTGCGAGGGTGTCACTCGCATGTGAAGTGAGGTAGAGATTTCTCGTTTTATTACCACGGGCAACAACCATCGTACCGTTGGAGATTTTCCATGAATCCCCGGTAAATGTCGAAACGTAGCCTTCTGCTCCAAGCTGTCCCACCGAAACAAGATTCCTCTTCAGCTTCGGCACATGTCTCACGTTCTTCAAGTTCCACTTAGAGCCCTTTATCTGTATCTGAACGTCGCCCTTTCCAACAATATTGCAAGGTTCATTGTCCCCCAAGTATACTTTACCAAAGTCCCCTGCTACATAGTTCTGAAGTAGTTTCCTATTAGCAGTGGCGTGGAAAGAAGCTCCTGAGTCGATGACCTAAGAATCAGAATCGCTATCCATAGCAAGGATCAAGACATCCTGCACGATATGAGCCTCCTGCTCACCCGCATCCTTTTTTGGTGCTTTACAGACCGAAGACATATGGCCCTCCTGGCCGCAATTCCAACACTTCCCTTTGATGGTTCTAACCTTTGAGTTTGACCTCTTCTTTACTGATTTCGACCGATCCCTGCTCTGGTTCCCTTTCTTCTGGCTTCTGCCTCTCTGCTCGAAACGTAGGGCTGAACCTAAACCTTCTGATTCGGACGGTTTCTTTCTAATCTTCTCGGATAGAATCATGCTCACAACCTCACTCAGCTTTAACTTCTCTTTCCCCGCCGAATTGCTGATTGCTGTCACACAACCCGCCCAACTATCCGGCAATTGCGATAGTAGTAGAAGGGCCTGCACTTCGTCATCGAACATGATGTCCACGGAGATAAGTTGATCAACAATTATGTTGAACTCGCTGAGGTGCATCGTGAAGGACCGTCCTTCAACTATCTTGAGGTTGAAGAGAGTTTTGACTAGATGCACATTGTTTGCTGCCGACGGTTGCTCGTACATCTTCGCAAGCGCTTCCATAAGCCCCACCGTCATCTTCTCCTTCAGAATATTGTGGGCTACTGATTTGGCGAGCAACAACCGGATTTGCCCTAGAGCCTTCCTATCCAGTACTTCCCAATCACCATCTGACTCCTCTTTCTTCTGCCCCTTTTCCTTGCCCATCAGCGGGCGATACAAGTCCTTCTGGTACAGATAGTCCTCCATCTGCGACTTCCAGTAGGCGAAGTCTGAACCGTCAAACTTCTCGATCTTTGATTTGTTTTCCTCTGCCATGGCTTTCACACAAATTGCTGAACAAAGCTCTGATACCAGTTGTTGGGGATTCGAAACAATCAATCAAACCCTTGCCCTTCCGGACCTTGTGTTGAAAGTAGGAAAGTAGGAACGATTCGCGGTCGACCGCCGTGCCAAGGCCGGTCGACCGGCCAGAGAAAAATCTGTTTACAGGGTCCTGTGCACATTTGCGGTCGACCGCAGCGGCCACGCCGGTCGACCGACCAGAGCGAAAAATCCTTCTCAGTCTCCTGCAGTGCACGCGGTCGACCGGATCTGCCACTGCGGTCGACCGCACAGTCTTCTGACTGTTTTCTTTGTCTTTTCGATTGCAGCTTCGGGTCTACACATTTAGACTAACATACACACACTAGTAGAAAATAGGGCAGTGGCGACGGGGAAATCCGTCACCAATGCCCCAAAATCCATTACCAATACATATTGGTGACGGAAATGGATCCGTCGCCAATAAATCCATCGCCAATAAGTATTGGCGACGGGGTTCCCCGTCACCAATACTTATTTGCGACGGACGACTATTGGCGACATAGGTATTTACCCGTCGCTAATGTTTTAAACATTGGTGACGGATCTACCCGTCGCCGATGTGCATTGGCGACGGGGAAATCCGTCGCTAATGTATATATTTACGCAATTTTTTTTTTACTTTTCTAGTAACCTCCCATACGAGAATACACATATAACCTGTATTGACATCAATCGAATGATGATATTTAACAATATATCATAAAATCAACCATGATATACATTCACATTCCAAATGAATACTCATCCAATTTCATCCGTCAATCCACAATATCGAACAATACTCATCATATAATCACAATCACAATACATCTCGCATGCTCAAATAATATTCATTCACTACGCAATAAAATCATAAATATATTACATATAGGTAAAATTCAAAAGTCATAATATGTCTTAACACAAGTCTCACTCACTCCTCGTCATCGTTGTTGTCGGTATCCCTATTATCAGCGTCATCTGCATTAGAACGTTGTATCGTTCTGCTGCTCCCTACGGGAGTACCTCCTCTAACCTGAAAAGATTATCACTCCACATAAGATATATATATACCTGCTGCTCCCTACGGGAGTACCTCCTCTAACCTGAAAAGATTATCACTCCACATAAGATATATATATACCAAAAATATCATAATAAATACATATATGCTCCACATAAGATATATATATACCAAAAATATCATAATAAATACATATATGTCACATCATATATACCTCTGTACCACCATGAACTTCATGCTCGTCAAACGACAACTTAAAGATAGCTAAGTATATCGACTCGGGAAGAATCTCCTTCAACGACGGACAATCACTGAGGCTCTGCACAACATCCCATGTACATGATGGATAATTAAAGTTAACTTTTGTTTCTTAATTTTTTATGTGTGATACGGATACCTAGCTTTTAATAGTTTGGAAGCTTGAGCTGAGACAATGTGGGCATTGTTATCATGCTTTTGCTTTGGTGGCTGTGGTAAAGTTATTCGAACATTGATGAATTCTAATTAGAAATACATGTGTGCAAATATGAAATTAAGTTTATACTTACATGCGTATCTGAGACCCACTAACTCCATAATCTTCGGAAGCTGTTAACACCATTAGAAACAGTTCAGAGAAATGTCAACAGACAAACTTAATATAAATTCACTCTAGAAAGTAAAAAAAAAGGCTAAATATCTTTATACAGAGTGAGACAAAGTACTCCATAACAGCATAATGTTGCTAAATAGTGTCCAATATCCAAGTAATGAGATACATTCTCAGATCATAACTCATCAACTTAGGATTGTAGAGAGATTTGTTGTCTCGGAGGAACAAACGCACAAGATCACAAATTCATGCATGCAGTAGACAACCAAGAGTAGAGAGACATGGCATATCAGTCCCAGGACCAGGACGATTATACAGTGCAGTGTTGGTTCATATGTACATATTTAAACAAGTACTAACTGGTGCTACTCCCCCTTAAATGTAGATCACTGAGTTATGAGTAACATTTGCAGAATAGTAAACCATATTACATAAGCATGAATATGTCTACCAAATATGCAGAATAAGTACCCGATCTAACTCTTTTACAAGGATAAATTAAGCCAATTATTATATATCAACAAGATTACACTAGTGCATACAGATACTATGTAAAATTCAATATTCAAAAGATAACTTTAGCTACAGTAATAGCAAGAATAAGAAGCAAAAAGCAAAATCCTTTTGTTCTGTAAAGCTGAATTATACTCTATATCAAAATTATGGGAGTGTCTTAAGGAATTCAGTCAAGTTTCAGGGCTGTAAAGCTGAATTATACTCTATATCAAAATTATGGGAGTGTCTTAAGGAATTCAGTCAAGTTTCAGGGCTTGAACCAAATCCCTCCAAATGCTCTAAAATTATGGGAGTGTCTTAAGGAATTCAGTCAAGTTTCAGGGCTTGAACCAAATCCCTCCAAATGCTCAGTCTTCATGAGTGGGGTTGATGATAATTTGAAGCATCAAATTTGTGCTCTTCTTAACTTCTCTGAAGGTATTTTACCCATGAGGTACCTGGGTATGCCACTAATTTCAAAAAGACTCTCTTGGCTTGATTGCAGTCCTCTCATTAACAAAATTGCTGTTCAAATCCAAAATTGGTGAAGCAAAAAAATCATGTCATATACTGGGAGGTTGCAGTTAATTAAATCAGTTATTTTGGGTATACAAATTTTTTGGACTAGCAATTATATCCTACCAATTAAAGTTCTGGAGAGGATTGACAGTATGTGCTCTGATTTTTTATGGGGACATAAAATCCATTTAGTCTCCTGGAATTCAGTCTGTCAAGACTTCAAACAAGGTGGTCTGGGTCTGTTTTCTGCTAAATATTGGAATTTTTCAACAGTTGCAAAAGTGCTTTGGATGATACATCTTAAAAAGGACATCCTGTGGATTAGATGGATCCATGGTCATTATTTGAGACAAAATGATATATGGCAGGTGCAGGCAAAAGCAAGTGATTCTTGGACATGGAGGCAACTTTTAAAAGTAAGAGATATACTGAAGAATAAAACTGGAAGTGTGGCTAATTTGACAAATGCAATTAACAGCTGCTGCATTAATGGTAAAGTCAGTATCTCTTCTATTTACAGGATTATTTTCCAGCAACATGACTTATTTGAAGGATCTGACACTATTTGGGGGGGTTGGCATTACCCCAAGCATTCTTTCATATTATGGCTTGCATCTCTTTATAGACTTCTCACACAAGACGGGTTGTGTAACATGAGGTTGTTTAGTTCAAGCCAATGTGTGTTTTGTTCAATTCAAACAGAGTCATGCCAGCACATATTTTTTGAGTGCCAATATTCAGCCAATGTATGGAATAAAGTGATGGAATGGATGAAGTTCAATTGGAGATCATGCTCATGGGACCTGATAATGAACTGGTTCAACCGGAGCTTGAGAGGGAAAAGCTATAAAAAGAAATTGAAGAGAATTGCTCTATCTGTGTCAGTGTATATGCTATGGCAAGAGAGGAACTTCAGGATTTTTCAACAACAAAGAGCAACAAGAAGCCCTGACTCACTCTTTCGTGCAATCAAACTCAGTGTATATAAAAAAGTTCTGAATGATAGATTTCCACAACATATATTACAGTTCATTGATAACCTGTCATAGAGTTAGACTGGATTTTTAAAATCAGTCTATTGTTTTGTTTCTTTGATATGTACAAAACTTTCTATACTTGGTGATGAATAAAATTTACATTCATTTACCAAAAAAAAAGAATAAGAAGCAAAAATGAAAAAAAGAAGAATAAATTACCATCTGACCAATTACTGTAGTGACTATCACAGGGGCATCTCTATACCGCAGACCAACTGACTCAGCTACGCCTGAATGCTCAAGGACCTGATATTGTGATGAGAATGGATGCGTATATAAGAAAAGCTTTTGAAGAAATATTTAACTTCACTTGGCGAACTGACCTATAATAGTAAACAAATGAGTTCAAAATTATTCACCGGGGT